CAATCGTCCCAGGATGGTTGGCAAGCTGAAATCGATGAAGCAAGCAATCACTGATTGCGATACCAAAATCAACGATGCCTACAGCGAGGCCATCATCAGTGACATTTCCAAAGAGAATCTTGTTTTGCAGTTAGACGGTTCGGTAGCCCTGGACAGCGCTGTTCTCACAGGCGCCCTGATTTCCCCCGCTACAGGAAGCAGAAGTCCTTGAGGAAGCTTCTTGACGAAGGACGCCAAACGTGCCAGCCTCGGCGCAACTGCGCTTGTCTCACGGCATGAACGCCCTTTTGGTCTCGTTTTTCTTCGACGGTCACTTGGCCCGTCACGGCACCGAATGGCCCCAACTTGTACGATGTCCCTTGGCCTCCCCTTATGGCTGGCCAGTGGGCCTCTAAGGGCGATCGCCGCTTTGTGCCTTGAACCTCGGTGCAGGCCGGTCAGCCACCCTAAACAAAATTGTTTGGTGGAACTTTCCTCCATGCTGAGGTCGCTGCTTTCCTCAACTCCATCCACAGCTGAGAAGCCTAAGAAACGGAAGCCCGCCGCAAAAGCCGTGCCCAAGAAAGTGGCAGAGCCACAGTCTTCCCGGAAGAGGGCTAAGAAAGACTGAAACCAGTCTTGCAAGTTCGAAGTTATCTGGGGCAGGGCCATCCCAAGACAAGAAGGGCAGTCCAAAACCATGCGAGTGCATCTTTTTAGAGGTTGCCCTTTTTTGGGTTTGTTTAAAAATGAACATCCACTGAAAAACCACCCCCTGTAAAGGTTCCTGAAACAGTTGCAAGACCATTTAGGCAAAGGTTCGTTTTCTTCAGAAAGGTTGTTCTGCCCTAGGAGCTTTTGGGGACAGTTGCAAAGCAACTGGAGTGGCGTGGTGCTTGCCGCGCCGTAGGGGGGGGCTCAATAACTACCATTGATCGACTGCGCATGATTGCGCATGCAAATCGTTGTGACAAAGGGATGCTGGCTGTTGCAACCCCTGTGACCGATGCATGTTTTTGTCAACGCCTGCTTCAAACAATTCGGGGCATTGTGAAAGGTGACTGTGGTCTGAAACGGCTGACTCTAAAGTTAGTCACAGCATCCAGACACTTGTTTTCGGAGCTGTGTGCCAGGCCCATCCGTGTCTGCCACCATGATGACGCACTTGGCGGAGACCATGGGGGACGGTGACTCTCAGCTTGCATTGGACCCATCAAGAAACACATTGAGGGGCTTCACATCAAGAGGTTTGAAGCTTCAGGCCTGATTGTGCGCAAGCAAAAAAAAGAGTTTGTCCTGTGCACGCTGTTAGTTTTCTCAGGACCGTCGCTTTTTTTCCGAACCAAAGAAGTTTGCAACGCCAGGAGCCTTTGCTGTTTCCAGCTTGCTAACAAACAGGAAACAAAGGAACTTGAGCCGTAAAAAGGAAAGACCTTGTGACCTTGGATGCTTCGCTCACCTGAGCCAAGGCTTCCGCCGCTGAGCTTGAGCGGACTCTGCGCGCCGCGCAGGGCATGGGAGAGGAGGATGGTCCCCGAGAGCGAAAAAATGCTCAAAGGAACATGTACAGCAAGTTCCTCAAATCAAACCTCTCCCTGCCTATCGGGATCCGTGAGCTAGCTCATGAAGTTGGTGAGGAGGTGGTGCTGACTCCGCATGTCACAGTTTCGGATTGGCTGAAGTTTCTCATTCCCAAGCATCCTTGCTTATTGGCTGGCGGGAACTTTGGACTACAAACAGAGCTTCAGGCTTTCTGGGAAATGTATCGATGGCAGCACCCGTCGCATGAGGTTTACACCCATCGGTCCGAAGAACAACTTGCCAGGACAATCCCAATATCTATTTTTGGGGACGAAGGTCGGGGATTGAAACGGGGGAACTTTATGGTAGTCAGCTGGGAGTGCCCTCTTGGAGTCTATGAGCACCCTGAGGATCCTAAGTGTGCCTGCAAAGGCTTTGTGCAAGGCTTTCCAGCCCACGCAGTGCCTTTTGACCAGCAAAGTGGCGACCAGACCTTCCTCACCCGCGTTGCAGCCAGGGCAACAACCAATCTCAAGGGACATTCGTACCTATCAAGACACCTTCTTTTTGGCTCACCTTCATGGATTTACAAGCCTCACCACAAGATCATTGAGGAGACTCTGGATTTGCTGGCAAAGGACATTTGCAGCTTATTTCACGAAGGGATCACAATAGGGGACCAGCAATTTTTTGCAGCCTTGGTGGCAGTCAAGGGCGACCTAAAACAACAGAGGGAATTTTTCTGTGACTTCACTCGTTCGTATGCCAACCTTGGCAAGAAGAACGACCTACAAATCTGCCAATTTTGTGCAGCAGGGGGGCCAAACATGCGCTTTGATCAGCCGCAAGACGAGCCACCCTGGGCATCAACAATGTACAGCTCAAGACCATGGACAAGGGATCCAGTCTTCAGCCAGGTGCCTTACGATTCGACAAAGCCCGAAAGGTTGTATGCCCTAGATTTTTTTCATTGCTTTAAACTCGGCCTCGCGAGAGACTTAGCTGGAAGCCTTATCATTGTCTTTTGCCGGCTGGCCTTTTTTGACAATCCTGGCGACTCTGAGAACTTGCCAGATCGGCTTACACGTGCGCATGGCAACTTTGCTTTATGGTGCCTTGCTTCCAATTATAGCCCTGGGTTGCGGTCGTTCAGCCAGGCGTTTTTGAACAGCAAGACCAAATCCGCTGCACCATGGACGAACAGCAAGGGGTCAGACTCGGTTCTTCTTTTGAAATGGCTACTTTGGTATGTAGGGATTGCAATTCTTCAACAACCTCCAGCTGCCTTGGGGTGTGTTCGTTTCTTACAAGTGGCCCGCACTACGTTGAATGCGGCGGTTTCTTTGCTGGACATTGTGTATAGCCACGGCTTGTGGCTTCCCCGTCCATGCGCTACGGCAATCTATTTGAAATTGATGATCCTACTCCGGGGTTACGCCGCTCTTGCTGAAGAGGTGCTTGCTTTCCGAATCGTTGGCTTCAGTTTCAAGCCAAAATACCACTCCATGCACCACATAGCATTTGCGATCAAGCAGGCGTTGGAATCGGGAGCACCTCTGATTATGTCTCCCCTCGCGACTGCATGTGAGGGCTGCGAGGACTTGGTTGGAAAAACAGCGAGATTAAGCCGGAGAGTGTCAACAAGACAGTCTGGACGGCGAGTTCTGGAACGTGTGTTCCTAAAGACCCGTGCAGTACTTCGGAGGCACATCCGAGTCCGCCGCCAACAAGGGAAGCGTATGCGATAGCGTTGTGCAAGAAAGCTTCGAAGAGCTAAATGGCAGAAAAGGCGCTTCATTGTTTGTGGCTCCTTCACATGCCCCAACCCCAAAAGCTGGCCTTGACCGGTTGGTCTTGTGTCGAAGCGGCGGCCCAAATCGGCAGATCTTGTTTCTCATCGGCGTTTTTTTTTGGTTTCGGCTGTTTTTTTGGAAACCGGCTGAAAAACAGGCCGCCAATCAACTCGGCTGAAAGTTCAGCCGCCGGAGGCTCTAGGTATGTGAAATCAAAGGCTGCCAAGCCGGGCCCAAACTTTTGCTTGGTTTTCACGGATCCGTTGGGTGCCAAAACCGTCAATGGCTCCTAAAACACGGAAACAAAACAAAACAAAAACGGCGGGCAAGCAAAGCGTCGAAGCGCTGCACCAGGACAAGTTGACATGAACGGACGTGAAAGTTGCCTAACATGACAGACCTCTGGCGATTGGCTTGGAATAGGTGCCCAAAACACAAACACACGCAGAGTACAACATAGGGCACGGAAGTGGAACATCACAGCTCAACATAGCACACCAACATGTGTAGCTCCAACAGCACAATGAACCGAAAAGACTCGTCCGACATTCTAGCTACAACTAAGCCAACATTAGCCAGACATAGCAACACACAGCCACATGAAAACAACACAACAAACACAGGAAATAACCTTGACCTTGACTAGACTAGCAAACCCTTGAACAACATAGCTGAACCATGCATGAAACTTCTGCGTGTACGGCATGATTATGGCAGGTTGGTGTGTGTCGACATGCAGCCGGCGAAACAGACATCCAGATGCGGAGAAGAACAAAGCTTCTTTAGAGACTCATTTGGCTTACTTTGAAGAGAACCTCTTGAAAACATAACGTTGAACATGAGGCACTGGAGGTCTGACACGGGATCACACGAAACTGAGACTCTGGTTTCATCTGATTCCTCGTCGCAAAAGCGGCCCTCACGTTGTGGCTGACGTCGGCTGACGTCGGTTGCGAGAAGGCTTCTCCGTGTGTTTCGGCCAGCCGGTCGCCGAGTCTCCGCGGTCACGCGCGGTCGCGCGCTTTCCGCTCGCCGTGCCGTGAAGGTCTCTCCAAATGCGACCCCTAATCAAAACCTGCACTTTGGGTGGCTTGGGCATGAAGGATTGAGGCAAGGCTGAACTACGCGGAAACCAGCTTCAAGGATCCATGTCCAAAAAGGGCCCTCCCCACACACATGTGCGCATGCTTCCCCATGGTTTTGTTCCACGGGGACATGGAGCAGCTTCTCAAGTTGGGAGGTGTTCCTGGGCTGTCCTCAGATCCCCTGCTAAAAGCTTTTATTTTGTGGGATAAAGGGAAACCCAACCACTAAACCAACTTTTAAAAAGATCTAAGAAGCTAAGGAACCGGATGGCTGGGAACCACCAAGGTTGATGCACAGTTCCATTTCTCACTACCATCACGCGACCTCAACATCTCTTGCGCCGAACCGACCTCTTGCGTAGGGGCCCTGCACAGCGCCTGTTGCGGCGGTGCGGGCTGCGTTGCGGCCAGTTCCCGTGGCTTCAAAAGACGGGGCTTAGAAACCCAGCCCTCCGGTGCAGGGCCACGCTTGGGCAGCAACAGGGCTGGCGTGCGTCTCGGGCTGAAGATGGCCTAGTTGGCCCTCGGCCTTTCGCGTTGCGTGCGAAGGTGGGCCAACTTGATGCCAAGGAGGGACCAGTTCCGACGAGACGGCGCGGCTTCGAGCCTCGCCGCTCGAAGCTCACGCCGAGTTGCAGAGTTGCGCCAGCGCTGTTCGCAGATTGTTGCTGGTCTGTGGCCCACCCTGGGTGTTATCGACATAGGGAACCTCCCTTTGGCATGCTCGAACTTCGCAAAACACGCCGGAAACAAACAAAACAAACAAGAGCAGGAAACAAAGCGGAGAATGCCCAGAGAAGCATACAGAAAGCGACAAATAGTAGCACAACCAGAGCAGAACAGAACCCTGAAAGACAAGCGGTCCATGTGCCCCTCGCCAGCCGGCCGCTCGCTTTTCTCCCTCGCGCGCGGTTTTGCCGTGCAGGCCGAAGGTGAAGTGGCCTGAGTATCAAAGCTCATGGACTCCTGAGTGTGTGTGTGTGTGTGTGTCAGAAAGCATAGGGGTTTAGACCCCGAAAATTCAGCTTCCTTCTTAGCTGCCCTTGAAACCTAGATGAAAAACAGACCCTCAAAACAACACCAGGCCTCATGCATGAACATGAAGGAAGCCCAAAAGGGTCACAAAGACAAAACTCTGTGCCCAGTCTGGCAATGAGATGTCCTCACACATCAAACCATTTCACCCACTTCCTGAGCGGGTTTGGTCAAACGGCTTGTTGACCACCGGGGATTCCTCTGCCTTGTTTAGACAAGC